GCCAACATCCACACTGACAACCTGCCTGGAAGAGATAGAGGCATGGATGAGGCTCAACTTCCTTCAGCTGAACAGATCCAAAACAGAAGCCATCTTAGTTGGCACACCACACCATCTCCGCTCTTCTACAATCACCAGTATCACTTTCTCTGGCCAAAACATCACCCTTTCCACATCTGTCACTAATTCGGGTGTTAAAATGGACCCTCAACTTACCTTTGACACCCACATCAAACACCTCTGTAAGTCATCGTTCTACCACCTCAAGAACATCGCCAAACTCCGCCCCAACACTCACCCTGGCAGATGCAGAGAAGCTCATCCATGCCTTTGTCCCCTCCAGGCTGAATTACTGAGTATCCAGAGACTTCAGTATATTCAGAACAGCGCTGCCAGGATCCTGATGAGGGTGCGAAAGCATGACCACATCACCCCCATCTTGAAAACCCTTCACTGGCTCCCTGTTCCACTGAGGATAGAGTACAAGGTCTCCCTCCTCACCCATCAGTGCATCTATGGACTTGCCCCCCTTTACTTACAACAACTCCTCACCCCCCATACCTCCTCACGCACCCTCCGCTCTATACACACCAGGAGTGTCATCGGCATAGCAATGGAAAGATAAACCAGTTCCAATCAGGAAATGGAACTGGTGTTGGAACTTAAATCTCCCTGAAATTCAAATTCAACTCCAATTCTGTTCTCCGTAGTTTTTTTTCCAATCCCAGCTCCAGTTCCATTTCCGGAGTTGCACTGGAATTGATCGATGCATTCTGGAATGGCCCCAACCCTGGTACACACTAACACCCTCCAAGTCCCCAGAACCATGCTCCGCAGCATGGGTGATAGGGCTTTTTCATCTGTGGTGCCGAGGCTGTGGAACGCCCTCCCTGACTACTTGAGAGCCCCACAGTCGACTGATGCTTTTAAATGAAACCTAAAAACTCATCTTTTTATAAAGACATTTTGTTAAAGTATTTTATAGATTCTCCTGTTTTATTACTTTGTTTTTACTCTGTAGCAGTTTGAGATATAAAATATAAAGTGCAATACAAATAAAATTAATTATTATTATTGTTATTATTATTATTAGAGCTGTTCCACGGCCAGGGCGAAAACCACACTGCTCCTCCTAAATCTGAGGTTTGACTATCCGACGTACCCTCCTCTCCAGCACCCCTGAATAGACCTTACTAGGGAGGCTGAGGAGTGTGATCCCCCTATAGTTGGTATCCCCGGTCTGCCAATCCAGAGGCACCGCCCTCGATGTCCACATGATGCTGCAGATGCGTGTCAACCAAGACAGCCCCGCAACATCCAGAGCCTTGAGGAACTCCGGGCGGATCTCATCCACCCCCCGGGCCCAGCCACCAAGGAGTTTTTTAACCACCGAGGAGCTTTTTAAGCACCTCAGCGACCTCCGCCTCAGAGATAGGTGAGTCCACCCCCAAGTCCCCAGACTCTGCTTCCTCATTGGAAGGCGTGTCAGTGGGATTGAGGAGTTCTTCGAAGTATTCTTTCCACAGACCCACAACGTCCCAAGCTGAGGTCAGCAGTGCACCATCCCCAACATAAACAGTGTTGATGCTGCACCGCTTTTCCGCCTTGAGCCACTGGATGGTGGACCAGAATCTCCTCGTAGCCGTCCGGAAGTCGTTCTCCATGGCCTCGCCAAACTCCTCCCATACCCGAGTTTTTGCCTCAGTGACCACCGAAGCTGCACTCCGCTTGGCCCGCCGGTACTCATCAGCTGCCTCTGGAGTCCCACAGGCGAAAAAAGGCCTGATAGGACTCCTTCTTCAGCTTGATGGCATCCCTCACCACAGGTGTCCACCAGTGGGTTCGAGGATTGCTACCGCGACAGGCACCGACCACCTTATGGCCACAGCTCCCGTCAGCCGTCTCCACAATGGAGGCGCGGAACATAGCCCATTCTGAGTCAATGTCCCCTGTCTCCACTGGGACATGGGCGAAGTTCTGCCGGAGGTAGGAGTTAAAGCTCCTTCTGACAGGGGATCCCGCCAGACGTTCCCAGCAGACCTGCACTATACTCTTGGGTCTGCCAGGTCTGACCGGCTTCCTCCCCCACCAGCGGAGCCAATCCACCCCCAGGTGGTGATTAGTTGACAGCTCCGTCCCTCTCCTCACCTGAGTGTCCAATACATGCAGCCGCAAGTCCAATGACACAACCACAAAGTCAATCATTGAACTGCGGCCTAGTATGTCCTGGTGCCAAGTACACATATGGACACCCTTATGCTTGAACATGGTGTTCAATAACAAAACACCAGATCGGGGGGGCGTTCCTCCCAATCACGCCCCTCCAGGTCTCACTGTCATTGCCCACGTGAGCATTGAAGTCCCCCAGCAGAACAAGAGAGTCTCCAGGAGGAGCAATCTCCAACAGCCCTTCCAAGGACTCCAAAAAAGGTGGGTATTGTGGGTAACTGCCGTTTGGCGCAAACAAGTCAGGAGCTGTCCCCCCACCTGAAGGCGAAGGGAGGCTACCCTCTTGTCCATCCTGGTAAACCCCAATGTACAGGTGCTCAGCCAGGGGGCAATAAGTATGCCCACCCCTGCTTGGCGCCTCTTCCCGTGAGCAACTCCAGAGTGGAAGAGGGTCCAACCCCCTTCAAGGAGACTGGTTCCAGAGCCCAAGCCATGCGTCGAGGTGAGCCCGACTATATCTAGTCAGAACCTGACGCACAAGCTCAGACTCCTTCCCCACCAGAGAGGTGACATTCCATGTCCCTAGAGCTAGCTTCTGCAACTGAGGATCGGACCGCCAAGGTCCCCGCCTTTGGCCACTGCCCAAATTGCACTGCACCCAACCAGTTTGTCCCCTCCTAAGGTGGTGCGCCCATTGGAGGGGGGACCCATGTGCCTTCTTCGGGCTGTGCCCGACAAGGCCCCATGGGTGCAGGCCTGGCCACCAGGCGCTCACCATCGAGCCCCACCCCCAGACCTGGCTCGGGGTGGGGTGGCCAGTGACCCGTGTCTGGGCGAGGGAGAATGTGAATCCATGTTTTTACTCATCATAGTTGATTTTATATTGAGAAAACATTATCAATCTTCATTCAACCATCATCCAAAGCCAGTCCTCAGCTTTGTTTTAAATATACCTCATTATGTTTGCGCAGGTTGGAGGGCGAGCTTTTGTAGGCTGTTAAATAGTTCAGCACACACTTAAAACAAAATGAGTCCTTAATGCTTTCAGAAAATATAAGCATTTTATCAAGATATGGCTAAGGGGGGCAAAAATGGCACCGAAGAATCATCGTCTCCGTTCATCGTCTCGCATTGCAGAAATGCAATACCGGCGTTGAACTTAATTTCAGACATGACATAACTGTACTGATTACTGATAGGCTGTCACCCGGGAAAAAAACAATCACGTTTTAGAAAAGGGGGAAAAACCATCCACTTTCAGAAATAAAAGTAATGAGTACCGAGACCCTTTATAGAAATGTAGTGAAGTAAAAAGTATATTTGTCTTTCAAATGTAGTGAAGTGAAAGTCATAAGTTTCCAAAAAAATACTACTCAAGTGAAATACAAATACTCAAAAAGTCTACTTAAGTACAGTACTCAATTAGCGGGAGAACATTTTAAAATGAATTTGAGAAAGTACTTCTTTATACAGCATGTAGTTAGAGTATGGAATAGTGTTCCTGCTAGTGAAGCACAAGCTAAAACCATGAGTTCCTAGATAAGCTAGATAAGATTTTAACAACTCTGAGCTATTAATTAAGTTCTCCCAAAATGAGCTTGATGGGCCGAATGGCCTCCTCTCGTTTGTAAATTTCTTATGTTCTTATGACATTCAAAATTATCTTATTTTTTCCTTAAAATTATAAATTTTCTCAGTTTAAACATTTGATATGTTTTCTATGTTTTGTTATGAATAAAATATGGGTTTATGAGATTTCCATGTCATTGCATTCTCTTTTTATTTACCATTTGCATCATGATGTGGGGAGCCATAGGGTATGACTTCCGGTCATATTTAAAATTTGGAATTTGGTGATCAGTGGTCATTGGTGACAAACCATAGCACACAATGTACAAGAACAAAATGTGTCCTCTGCATTTAACCCATATGTGACGTTGTGGCATAGCAGGGGGCAGCTAGTTCAGCACCCGGGGAGTAGTGATGGGGGCGGTATCTTTCTCAGGGTATCGCTGTGTCACCAGTCTTGCTGTGTGTATTTGCACATTATTATCCTGATACATGGCACCATCTTCAAAATAAATCAAAACAATGTGTAAAGTTAAAAAAACAATGTGTCCTGCCCCGATCGTCCGCTCCTTCCGTGTTCCACGCCCCCTCGTTAACCTCGTATGAAATCCCCGTGTGATCAGCTGTTTCTGGTTGTTTTCATTAGCCCTCTGTATTTCGTCCGCATTTCAGTTTGTTTCCCCAATCATTGTATTGTCCGTCTGCGTTTTGCCTGCCTTACCTGGAATTAAACTCCGTATTCCCCGATACCCTGACGACTGCGCCTTTGTCTCCATTCCATCCCAGCTCGGCAGGACAATATTATTATAATTAAACGTATAAATGGTTTATTATTGATATTAAAATAACAATAAGAAATCTTTATTTTTAAATGTATCTTATTATATAATAATTACTGTTACTGTCAATCATTGTCTAAATGTATTTTTACTGTCTAAATATACAGTCAAGCCCAGAATTATTCATACCCCTGGCAAATTTTGACTTAAAGTTACTTTTATTCAACCAGCAAGTTTCTTCTTGATTGGAAATGATACAGGTGTCTCCCAGAAGAAAATAAGACGATGTACAAGAGACATCATTGTGGAAAAGAAAAATTCTCAGGTTTTATGTACATTTGAACAAAAAGTTCTTTAATCGGTAGATTTCCTTGTTCACTTGTTTCTTGTTCACTGTTCTGTTACTTATTGTGAACAATGTCTGTAACCAGCACAAGAACATTAGGTGGTAAATGTGAAAAATAACCCATTATTATTACTTAGGCATTTGAAAATACACTCAAGTCTTGGGAGGACAAGCAGAAATGTGAGTTCCCTCGTCCTTCATCCCAGCATGCACTACCACCAGAGATTGTGTCAGAGGAAGAGGCAGCTCAGATCAACCTTTTTGGTCAGGCAGCTGGAGCCTTCATTCACAGGTGAGACAGAGTTCCTAGGTCTATGTATGCTAACCAATATATTCTGCTTTGCTCAACGAGACATGCATAAGATGTGTTTTTTTTTTCTTTTCGTATTTGTACTCAGTATTCGGGAAATTGCCCAGTCGCACCAGGACATAGAGCAGGAGCTAGCTCATGCTGTCAATGCCAGTTGTAAGGCTATGGATGTGGTTTATGCCAAGTCCAAAAATCCAGAGGTAAGTGTGTTTTCAAGTTGTTAAATATGTATTATGAGTCATTTTGTCTGTTGTGTTGTGTGAAAGTCACTGGTTAGGTAGTGGATTAAAGTCTAATTTCTTAAAAAAAAATATATATACATATATAATGATAGGAAGTTACAAATATCTTGGCTTAAAAATTTACAAACACGTAATATACAAAACACAAGCCAAAAAGACATGAGAGACATGTTCTTTTGCTATAAAGAACATATGTGTAGTCAGTATGTTCTTTCTATTGTGCTGCATCTCATTACTTATAACAAATGCATATTCAATGAAAATGCAGCACAGTAAAAAAGAAATAAGCACAACAAGAATATTTTCCTGTTTTTATTAGTCATAACTTGGGATCCACAGATTATCATTTTTTAAAAGCTGACACCAATTCCAATTACTGGTGATATGTGAGACCAATTACCCATAACTTAGGCCAATATTAAGTCAATTTAAAATTTAGAAAAAACACAGCATAACGTTCTCCACATCTTCTCCAGACCCTTTCACGTCTGTCACATGTGCTCATGGTGAGCCTGCTCTCATCTGTGAAAAGCACAGGGGCCCTGTGGTTGACCTGCCAATTATAGTAATCTATGGCAAATGCCAATTGAGCTCCATGGTGCTGGGAAGTGAGCACAGGGCCCACTAGAGGATGTTAGGCCCTCAGGCCACCCTCATGAAGTCTATTACTGATTGTTTGGTCAGAGACATTCACACCAGTGACCTGCTGGAGGTCATTTTGTAGGGCTCTGGCAGTGCTCATCCTGTTCCTCCATGCACAAAGGAGCAGATACCGGTCCTACTGATGGGTTAAGGACTTTCTATGGCCCTGTCCAGCTCTCATAGAGTAACTGCCTGTCTCCCGGAATCTCCTCTATGCCCTTGAGACTATGCAGGGAGACACAGCAAACCTTCTGGCAATGGCACATACTGTATTGATGCGTCATCCTGGAGTTGGACTTCTGCTTTGCTCTGGTCATACACACACAGATGTTGTCTCAGAGAAGTTGGCAAGTTGGTCCTGGCATGGTGGGGCTGTGGAGTTGTGGTGGGCTGCCAGGTGGCTGCGGGTGGGGCTGCTGGCAGCCTTTGGCGGGGGGTGCCGGGTGGCTGGGGCAGTGCAGGTGCAGGCTGGAGTGTGGGGTCTGTGGGGTCCTGGGGGCGGCTTGCTCCCTGGGCGGGGGTCTCGTTTGCGCGGGGTGGGTCGGCACCAGCTTGCCTCCGGGGGTGGAGGGGTCGGGGCAGTTGGGTAGCCTCTCTTGGTGAGATTGGCTTGGGCACTGGCGGGTAATGGGTGGGGTACCTTGGTCTCAGGCCAGTGTGTCTGATGAGAAAGGATATTTGTATGTGTGTGTGGTGTGTTGGCATGGCTTCGCTCGGATGGGGTTCCGGCTGCCCCCCTGGGCCAGGGTGAGTGGGCGCCACCCTTGGAAAGTGGCAATACCCCCAGATGTTGCCTCCTTGCGTCCTGGGCACATGGGACAGGGTTCCCGCTGCCCCACCGCGGAGAGTGGGGGTGCTTAATAGAGCATACATATATACAGTGGTACCTCATTACTCGAACTCATTAGAACTCGAATTTCTTAAAAAAAATGACCTAGAACTCGATCTGAATCTCTGAAGTCGAACCGTGAATGCCGACCTAAGATAATTTGTACACGCAGGGACATGAGTCACGCGACATGTCTCTCAGTGGAAACAAAGGGTAACGCTTCAGTCTCAGCCTCACATTCGCTGTGATAGCATCGTGCATGTTTACACTAGCTGAATACATATATTTAGACAGTAAAAATATTAGTAACAGTAATTATTATTATATAATAAAATACATATAAATAAAGATTTCTTATTAATTATTTTTATATCATTAATAATAAATTAATACATTTAATTATAATAATACTGTTGTGCCGAGCGGGGACGGAACGGAACACACGTCAGGGTATCGGGGAATACAGGGTTTATTTACAGGTAAGGCAGGCAAAACGCAGACGAGCAATACAATGACCGAACTGGGGAAAGAAACTGAAACATGGACTAAATACGCAGGACAATGACAACAACCAGAAACAGCTGATCACATGGGGATTCCACACGAGGTTAACGAGGGGGCGTGGCACACGGAAGGAGCGGACAATCGGGGCAGGACAGGGATAGTGTTGGGGTACACTCTTTATCGTTTTGGAAGCCATAAAGAAAAAAAAAGGCTCTTCTTGTTTTATCCTGTTCATTTTGTGTTTAAATGCTAAAAAAAACATATTTAGGTGCAATTTTTTGGGGCCAGGAACCAATTAATTGGTTTTCATTATTTTTAGGATTTGAACCCAAGTTCTGAAAGGATTTAGTTTTGAGTTCTGAGGTACCACTGTATATCACAACATCATCCACGTCATAACTTTCCCTGGGGCTACCAGGGAACGTGGCTGCGCCCTTGAGCGGGGGGGGGGGGGGGGGGGGGGTGGTTGGTGGCGCCTTTCCGGCAGTTGGGTGGCTCCCAGGTCTGCGGGGCCCTGGGTCCCGTGCTCTGTCCGTGCCTGCGTGACTGGTCCCTGGTGGGGGTGCAATGTTGCCTCAGGTTGTCGGGGTGCTCCTGCCTCACAGTCGTGGGGGGGCCATTTCGGGGTCTTCCTCCTCCACCTGCTGGGGCCGGTGTGTAGCCTTTCTCGTGGCATGTGGCTGGGGTCCCACGACCAGCGGCAGGGCTGCTGGGTCCCTTGGTCTGCCCGGGGGGCTGGGACAACGCTGTTCTCTGTTTCTCATTAATAAGGGGCTTCTTCCTTGCTTTATGGGACTTCTCTCCTGCACTCCTTAGTCAATGTATCAATGTTCATTTTCAAAGTTAATTTTATTTGCGATTAAAAGTACAATCTATCTTACTGATTGGACCACAGTGCTGATTGTTTCACAGGAATTTCTTGGGTCTGCGAGCCCCTGATTCCCGTGCTCCGTCCATACCTGCGTGGCCCCACTTTGGCACCAGGCCTGGGGGAGGGGCTTGTTGGCGAGTGCCTGGTGGCTGGACCTTGGCCTGTGGGGCCCGCCTGGGCCCAGCCTGAAAGAGTTACGCGGGACTACCCCCAGGTGTGCCCACCACCCACAAGGGGAATGTCAGGGGTTTGGTGCTTTGTGAATCAGGTGGTGGCCAAGGGAGACCCTGGTAGACCCCAGCCTGTACTGGCCGGAGGCTGACTGGCCATCAAAGCCGGCTCACGAGGTGCCTGGTCTTGCAGCAGCAGGAACGCGAAGAAAGAAGCGGAGAAGTAGAAGACGGGAGGACACGCATGAGGTCTGTCTGGGGGCCGTCTCTGTTTCTGCCGCTTACCCTGCTGCACGGTGGGAGAATCCTCGCCTGATTCTCAACCGGCGGTGTTCGCGGGTGACGTCACCGCTGCTTCACCTGAGCGGACTGGCTTCGGGCGTCCGCCCACCGCTTCGCTGCCAAAGCCTGCAGCTGCTTGCCCCTTCACCGGGACGCGCCTGGCCCTTAAAGGGGCCAGGTCCATTAAGGACACTATCCCGCGGGTTCCGCAGTTTCTGAAGCGGGCAGTTCCCCCCATGGTTCCTCAGGCTGCAGCGCCCCCCATGGTTCCTGAGCCACGACCCTGCCTGGAGATGGCTAGGAGGTTTTTCACCCTCAAGGGCGGGTGCTAGTATAGTCTCTAGCATAAGAGACTCCCCAGAGGCAGTTCCGCTCCTGGAGCAGCTCTGGAGGGAGTTTGCCGCCGTCACTCCTGCATCCCTGTTCCAGCAGCTAGCCAAGGTGGAGGAGACCCTGAGGAAGCTGCTACATTTGCGGTCAGAGCTGGCTCCTCCCGCAGAGGAAGAGGCCCCTGCTGCTGCACCGCCCGAGGCCCCTGCTGCTGCACCGCCCCCAATGCTCCCCGTGACTCCTGAGCTCCCCGCTCAGCTCCCCATGACTCCTGAGCTCCCTGCTCAGCTCCCTGTGACTCCTGAGCTCCCTGCGGTCCCCATGTCAGTGGTGATTGTTCCCCTGGAGGTTCCTGTGTTCCCCGCTAAGCTCCCCGTGGGTCCTGTGCTCCCCGCGGTCCCCATGCCAGGGGTGAGTGCTCCCCTGCGGTGCCCCCTGCTGGTACCGAGTCTGATGGCCTGCAGATGCACCCGTGGCCCCTGCAGTGTCCCCCGAGGTTCCTGCGACGCCCCCAGAGGTGCTTGTGTCGGTGGTTGCTGCAGCGCCCTCCAAGGTTCCTGTGGCGCCTGCTGTGCCCCTCGAGGTTCCTGTGGCTCCTGCTCCAGCTGCACTACCCCCTGCTGGCGTGCCGCCCGAGGCCATTCCTGCGCCTCCTGCCCAGTCCCCTGTGCAACCCCCAGCGCTCCCCGTGACTCTTGTGCTCCCCGGGACTCCTGCGGCCCCTGCGGCATCCCCCGTGACCCCTGCTGTGCCTGAGACGGCACCGCCCGAGGCCCTTGTCCCTGAGGAGGTCCCAGAATGCTGCTCTGATGCTCCTCCCTCCATAGTGGAGTTGGAGGGGGAGCTTGAGTGGGACCCCTCAGGGATTGCCCTGACTGCCCCAGTGACTGCCCCTCTGGCTTCCCCCGTGACTTTCCCCGTGGCTACCCCCGTGACTTTCCCCATGGCTGCCCCCGTGACTCCTCCACCATCACCCCAGTGTGACAGACCACGGCCGGGTCCCTGCCTCTCGGTCTCCCGGAAGGGTAGGGGACACTTGCGCCGGGTCCCGCCCGCCCTGCCCCCCAGCTCGCCTGCGGCCCCCCTGGCTGCGGCTCAGCGGTCGCCTGCGCCCCCCCTGGCTTCGGCTCAGCGGTCGCCTCCGGCGCCTTGTCGGCTGGCTACAGTCCCACCTCCGACGCCTCGTCGGTCGACTGCAGGTCCCCTACCTCCGCCTCATCGGTTACCTCTGTCTCAGCCGGCGGCCTTCAGCCTTCGCCTGCCGCGGCTGATGCTCCTTCCTCCCCTTCGCCTGTGCCCCCTTCATCTTCCTCCTTGGCTCCTCCATTGC